TTCTGATTTAAAAACAAGTTTCTAGGAGTAAAAGATTTATTTATATTTTAATATTTTTACGATAAAATTTCATTCGTTATAGTCGCATAAATAATAAGTAAAACAGAAATTCCAGTAGGGAAAAAAATATCAAAACTTAGATTATATGAATAGAGAGGAAAAGGTATTACCTAATATCCATATTCACCCATCTACACATCTATCTATTCATTCGTCTTATCACACTTTGCATTCTATTCCATTAATCATCAAATATGCTAATTATGTTCAATTTTCGTAAAAATATAAAAATACATATTTATGAGTGTCGTACAAGTAAGAAAATGGATAGAATAACTTATTAAAAAATAATGAGAAATAAAAATTTTTTGGGAAAATAAAATAAAAATTGATCGAGTCGCTTCGAATAGTAAAATTTATCGAAAGGTGCAATGCATAAAAAAGCAGAAATCATCGAAAAATTTACCATTTATCATTTTCTTCTTATCGATTCGAATAAGAAAGAATTCATTTTTAGTTTTTCTAAGCTTAAACGATATTTTATCTTTTTCTATGGTGAAATTTCATATTTTCCTGGAGATTTTTTTTTCCATTCTTAAATTATACGAGAGAAAAAAGTAAGAAAAGCATTCGATTTAATCGAAATGCATTGCAACCGCTAATTACTTTCGAAAAAAAACCAGAATGCGAAAACAAATGTGTGAAAACAAACTAGTCATTTAACTGAATATTCCAGTCCTTTTTTTTCAGTATTTCCATGAGTTTCGTATGTATTTTGTAGATTTAGTATCTAAAAATTTTGGAAATATTTGGAGATTGAAAGCTAATAAACATGGCTGATAAAAATGCGTAAAGTGGGCAGTGAGAAGCTTTACGAGTAAATTAAGTTGTATTTGCGAGAAATCGCCAGGCAGTTTTTAGACAATCGTTCTACAAAAAAAAAAAAAAAATTCTACAAAAGAAAAAGGAAAAAATTTAACAAAATCGCAGAGTATTTAAAAAATTTAATTTAATTGAAAATGTTTACAAACACATTATAAGCTTAAAAGTGCCTAAAAATATTTATAAAATCATCTATTTAAAAAGCGATCTTTTTAATAACTTCCCTTCTCATCGCACAAACTTCATGAGGTCGTTCAAAAATACAACCGATATTTAACAAATTTCTTTCGAAAATTTTTTTCTGGAATATTCTAACAAATTTTCTAAACTATGAATTTTCTCCAGCGAAACATGTTTACATAGCACAGTGTGAAAAGGGCTTAAATCAATTCGAGCAAGCCTAATTTTTTCAATATTTCATTACGAGTAATGAGTAAATTTCGCCTTGAGATTTTAATTTTTTATTACTTTTGCAAAGTTGTAATTCTTGAAATACTTGAAATTCTGTTTGCAATGATCGTTTCGTTAGAGATTGGCTTGGGAATTATAAGACCTCATCATTCAGATTCCACTTTTAATATTAGGTTAATACTAGGTTCTGTCGTACAAATCAGTCCAGAGCATAGCATCGCTAACCTTGAATAAACGGATAGATATAATCCTTTTTTCTGACAATTATAATGCAAAAAATGCTAAACAATATCAATATATCAACGACTGCAGCGAGAACTTGGCTCAAAACCAGTAAATAAAACGAAAATTTTTTCGTCTTACATACAATGCTGAAACTGATAAAATACCTATTTTTATCAATTCATCGCCGGTTGAGAATGTGCCAGATTTCTAACATCTCGCATCCACTCTAATTCAAAATGGCCATGCGAACGATGAAATTACAGCCTTGGTAATGGCAGTTAGGAATGCTATCTTCAAAGTTAGGTTTATGAAATCTTTATGGAATCGTAGCGAAATCACTATATAAAGGCTATAAAGGCTATAACGAAAATTCCTGTCCATATAGCCGAAATTCACTCGATCTTGTTATATGGCTGCGAAACATGACCAATAAAAGTGGAAGATATTAAGAAACTATCAGCCTCTCTAAAATATATTTTCGGATCGGTCGAGCCGATGAAACCTCACATGATTCTATCCATCTTCTCTCAAATACCCCTATTTTATTATTATATTAATAATGTTGTTACCTCGCCTTCTCTGGTTAGGGCACGTTCTCTACTATCCACCACAAGAGTTGAAATATTTCATTATTTGATAAACGCTGTGATGAGTGGCGTCAAAAAACGAAATAACCCAATCAAGAGCTGGGTTGATACAATTAAAAAAGTTTTGAACGTATGCGGACCAGCGATATATGGATTTAGACGATGGAAAAATAAATGGCTTTGACTACTTTCGACGATGGCGTTGGATCAAATAGTTTGGAGACGTCTTACCCTTGTAGCTAGCTGAGCCAGCCTAACCAGTAATAATCAGCGCTGTTGGAAGAAAAAGAAGAGGAAAAATAAAAAATTTTCCCTGTTAAAAAATCATCTAACATGAGAATGGAATTTCGTTTATTTACTTTTTCCAAATGCAAATAATAAATACAAGCCATATTCATTACTTCATTACTACATTACGCTACCCACTGATATAATATTTTTTAAAAATTTCATATCTAATTGATTTAGATTGATAACGGATTAAATAAACAAATGGTGCGTCGGTGACTCAATGATAATAGAGGCTGAAAATCGAAATTAGGTTCAAATTCAGCGCACCAAGTAAAAAAGCAAAAGAAAGAGTAGAATGGCTTAGTGTATTGTTGCCCAGTTTGGAGTGCCGATGCAGCAATTTTACATACGGCAGAAGTAAATCTTTCCGAAAACCTGGATGATGCTAGCGACTCAGCTGTACTTCCATCGCCAGAAGATTCCAAAAGAGAACAGAACCAGTAATGAGCGTGCTTTTAAAAAAAAAAAAGCAACCAGATCAAATTCATAAAATCTATGCTAAAATTTTAACATTTTAAAAAAATTTTAAATTTTACTTTGGCACATTTTCTGATTTGGATGCTGTACTGACTATTACCAAAACAGAGTGATTTAGCAACCCGAGTTGCACCTTAAATGGCAGGTCCTGTCAATGGCCGAGAATCTGATACATGTTTCGGACTCTCAGTTTATGAAACCTGAATTAATTTTAAGCACTTTTAGGGAAAAAAACTAGATTTCTTCGTGTTTTTTTAAACCAAACATAAATCAAATTAATGAAATAATTTTTTTCAAAAAAAAAATGGTGAACTCAAATCACATAATTTTTGAAATCACAATTCTGGAAAGCGGACCGAATCGAAGGAAAAATCGAAAATACTTCCAAATTTGGATTCAAAAAATTAGTTTTTGCTGAAATTACGGAGGAAATAAAAAAGAATTGCACTGACAATGGTTTGAAAACCAAGCAGATGTTTGTGATAAGTGAAAAATGAAAAAAACATTAATTAAATTCGCAACTTGCAATAATCTAATCGCTGCAGTAGTTTTTCATTGCAAAAATTTAAAATATTAGACATATGAAAATTCACTTTTGTGTATGTGTGTTTTGACGAAAAAATCGAAAATAAAAATAAAAGCGCAAAAAACAAAATTAAATCTCTTCTTTATCTTTTTTGAACAATTCGATTGAGTAAAATAAGTAGAATAGAAATGGGAAATGAAAGAAAAAAAGCAATCAAAAAAGGAAAATTCTTGTTTTGTGTAAAAATGATAGGAAAATGATACAAAAAAAATGGGTATATAATTGAAAGAAGAAAGAAAATTTTCGAAATTTGCTGCTTTTTATGAAAAATGATCAAAAAGTAGAAGCAAGAAAAAACCAAATCAAGATTTTCTTTGTTAAGTTTTTAAATTTATTCATTTAATGCAGTATTTAGATATTCTGATGAATTAAGCAAATTATTTTTATTATCGTTATTTTATTATTATCATTATTATTATTAGTAATATTATTATTATTATTATTGTTATTATTAGTAATATTGTTATTATTATTCGTAATATTGTTATTGTTATTGAAGCCGTTAATTATATGCAAATACGAGAAATGTGGCGATAAATTTTCGTAGATTTTTTAATAGCTCAGTATTAAGCGATTCTTTTGAAAAGCGGACCATCTAAACTGTTAATTAAAGTCGGACCATCTAAACTGTTTTTTTTTACAAGATTTTAGGAATAGTTTGATTTGAAATGAAGCCCTCAAAATTTTGTGGTTTTGATAGTAAAATGGCGAAATAACTAGAAATACCGAAAAACTTATTCCTAAAGAAATACATCAGTACGGTGTGGGTTATCCTCAACCTCGTGCCCTCTACCAGAACGCCAAGGAGATTATCGCAAGATACTCGCTTGGCAAAGAGGATTAGCTGAAATTCGAGTCGTTGCTACATTCCATATTAATCGCCCGCTTTAATCACTACACTATTCCAGCGCTTAAATATATATATTTATGGATTGTTTATCTTAGATTGCTTACTTTACAGGAATCTAGAAGCTTACAGTAATGGAATCGATTCACAGTTCCTCTTATTCAGTCCACTGATTCTTTAAGAGCAATGGTTTGACGAATGCGATTCCTAACCAAAATTTTAATAAGTAGAATAATAAATCGAATAATTTTATTGCAAATCAAATATAGCAAAGGATAACTGTATGAATTATGCTTAAAAAGATAATAAATAGGTATAAGTCAGAATAGAAAGTGATACTGACACTGGCTCAGTTACTAATGCTGATACTTTCAAATCCAACATATAGACTGGAAGAACGATTGTGCTTATGCAGAATAAAAGATAATAGGGTATTTTCGACATTCTTATTGGCCAATTATAATTTAAGAACAAAGTGAGAAAGTTTGGCCGCATAACGATTTTAATTCGAATATAGTGCATGTAAGTTTAAAATTTAATTTATTTCTCTGTTATGCCACAGATACTTTTCGTTCAACTTTGCCTTTGACTTCCAAATCTGTTTCTGGATAGGAATCAATGCATCTTCGATAAATTCCTTGCATTCCGACACCATTAACCGCTGCGATCACTCGTCGCTTTCAGTGGATAGAGTATGGATAGAGTACAGACATCGGTCGTTTTATTTGATTTCCATTTGGAAGAAGTAGGTTAGCAAGCCATGTGACATTATTCAATCATAAAGATGTGCTTAGGAATTGCGTTATGTTCAAAAAAGATTTAGGATAATTAGAGTGAAAATTGAGAATTTCGCTTTTTACTAGTGTTCGACTCTAGATTTCGGTGAATGTATAATGCGTTGTATAATATATAAAGCGAATTATAAACGTCATCGCCCAGAATTACTGCAAAATGACATTAGGAGTTTTATCAGAAGCTCGATAACAATGATCATTGGTAGTTCACGGGTAACATATGGATATATAAAGTCAATGGATCTTAATACGGCTGTTGATTTGTCACGTACGTAAGTTAACGGACATCGATTTATGGCATACTCTCAATCTTCCAAGCCTCTGGATTTAGGATTTTAGGTTGAAGATACCAACAGGAGTAAGAGTTTTATATGCATATAACTATATTTATGTATATAGCAAAGTACTTATTCTTTTTTGATAATTTTAAATTGACTGTAGTGTTTTCCTCAAAGATAGTGCCAAGTTCTTCTTCTGCGATAGACACTTTCATCATTCTGCTCATCGCATGTTTAATGATGATACTGATTAAGCATATTTATGCCTTTCCATGCTGTGGGCTATATTCCAAAAAATTTATTCATTTAACCCTGGAAAATCTTGTATAACATACACTTTATGAATTTGTTAACAATCGGTAAAGTGATCGGGTTTTCAAAAATATAATCTGGAATTCAAGAGCTCACGATGACATTAATAAATAAACATAAAAATGCTGAAATCAGTCGTTAGTTCCAGTTAGATTGCTGAAACAAATAAAAAATGTAAAACGTTTATTTATATTAATTGGTTCATTTTATCCAATTGAATGAAATGGAGTCTATTAATTAATTAGTAAAGGGAGTGGGAGGAGGAGGGGGGGGGGGGGGGGGGGGGGGAGGGGTAGAACTAGCGAAAATTTTTTATGCGAGCGTCCCATTTCGAAAATGGCATATGAATAATTTTCTGCACAGCAAATCTGCCTTGCATTTTTGTATATTTGGGCTAGAGTGTATGCGTGACTCCGGATATTGATCAACATTTGTTCTTCAATAGGAGTAAATCTGCCATGATTTCAAAAAAGGGTGCTTGCTGGTGATTCAATTTATTCCCAAGTGGCTCTATTGTGGAAGAGTCTGTCCTAATGCGCATAATACTCCTAGCCCCTTGGTACATACAATAAGTAAGCAAAAAACCATAGTGAAAACCATACCAAAGCTTAAAAATAAGATATGCTGTTAAGCTAGGATAATTACTCGAAACCTGTCAAGAGAGAAGGCTCTCTGTTAGCCTAAGCAGCTTGGAACATCAGAACGCTTATGGGCGTTGCAAGCCAAACATCACTGTCCACACTCTTTCTAACTTTCAGAGGTCCTCCTTCCTCACTATGAGTCTCGAGTAATTGCTGCTTCGAGCAGCAGTGATGGCTTTATCACTCTTATATTTTGGAAAACTTGAGGCGAAACGTTGCGATGACTTGTGCAGTCATATCTAACAAAATTCACTTCGAATTGATTGAGTTTAAAGGAATGTATATATCATGTAATTCTGTAATATCTTGATCATCAGTGTATATGCTCTAACTTTATCGGTAGATGGCTATGAAAGGATAAGTCTATACGGAATTTTAACTGCTAACAATATCTTTACTAATACATAACATAATCATAGTCGGAGGAGACTGGAATGCGCGCATAGCTCATGGTGTCGTCAAGATAAACTCAGTCAGTAATTATCGAGGTCTGGTGCACAGTGGAGTACGTCTTTTTCGCTTTGCCTAAGAATAATGAACTTTTTATTATTAATACTTGCTTCCGGCATCGTAAAAACATCTAGTCAGGTGGAACTGTCCGGATAACCAACACTCCAACCAGATTGATTATATTTTAATCAGTAGCCTTTGGAAGAATTCCGTACTAAATAGTAATTCATATTGCGGCGCTAAATCTTCATGGATCTGACCATTTTATGATCTAAGCTAAGACCTACAAAAAAATGACTATTCACAAGAAATAACATCTCCCAATATCTTTGAACTATCACTATACGATTCGCAGAATTCGCAGACAGTAAATTCATCTCAAATAGAATTATTGAAGTAAAATAAACATCAGGAACCGCAGGAATACTGGTCCAAACTAAAGGCATATCGTCAAAAGTCAGCCAGTTTCGTGCTATGATATATTAGTGGGTAGTAAGCAAGTGGAGTATCGAAACAACTATACTATATAAAAAACTAAAGCACGAATGTCAGGAAATCCTAATGCCTACCCTGATGCTTCGAAGAATTAAAATGACTGCAGCACTGCGAGACAGAAATCACTATTGGAGTGATATGGTCTTGGAAATGAAGAGTATATTAGGCGATAATAGGAAACTATTCTGCCTTCTTCAAAAAGCAACTATAACTCGTGGCCAGTGAAATAATACAAGATAGATACCTTTGGTGTGCCTGTGGCTATTAGCCTTTTAAGAATGAAGGAATTCCTTAATGGTAAATTCAACAACGATGTGCCATCTGTTGTCCAGCACATAAAAGATTCGCTCATCGATCCATACATTTGCAACTACAAATCGTTAAATTAAAAAGGAATAATTTCTATTATCCATAAGCTTAAGACCAATAAAACTCTTGAAGGTGGTCTCCGAGTTGAACTCTTCAAATCATCCTTCGTAACACACCTTTAATGAATATGCTCTCTGGTACGGAGGAAAGAAATAATACCAAATGACTGCACGAAGCAATTCTGCTCCTAATTCCCAGGAAAGATGGACATACTATGACAATTTCTGAAAAATCAGTCTTGATGTCTTCAGGAAAATTTTTTTGCTTCCCTTCTATTGAATAAACTTATGGTAATACGAGATAGCAGCATACGCTTTAACTAAACCGGAGACGGGGAACGATGATGATCCATTAAGAAAAATACTGGAACACCGCTTTTAGTAAAAATTCATCGTGGAACGCTACGATGTTCCAGAGGAGATTCGACTCGTAAAAGCATTTGACCAGCATACAACGACACATCTGTGTATATAGGGGACAAACTTTTTCGAAATAAGAATTGCCCGTCAAGGGTGCGTCCTTTTTCCTATAATATTCAAGAATTCGAATGACGCTAGCGGTCCGCCTACTTCTTAACGGAATCACTTTCTGAATTCTAGGCCTAAGGGCATACCAAAAGGCTTCAAAAATTACAGTCTGAAATAATTGAAAAGTAATTAAAAATTATTATAATAATTTTTCTAATGGCTCTCACCATTACTGGTTAGGCTGCCTCAGCTGGCTACAATGGAAACCATTCCTTTTTTCTATCGTCGAAGTCCATATATTGCTGGTTCTCCTATGCGTTCAAAATCTTCCCTGACTGTATCAGCCCAGGTCTTGTTTGTCCTTCCTCGCATTTGACTCCAACCATCACAAGGTTCGACAAATAGCGAAATGTGGAAAATGTGGATCAATTCTTGGACGTGGAAGAATGTGCCTTAACCAGGTAAAATGACGCTATGTGATAACATTATTAATACATGTGATATTTGAGCGAAGATAGATACAATTATGTGCGATTTTATCCACACGATGGATCCGTAAAATATATCTTAGACATGAGTGGTTAAAGGCTGTTAGCTTCTTAATATCTTCCACTCTCATTGGCTATGTTTCGTAGCAATTAAACTTTATGGACACGAATATTCGTCTATATGGTGATTTTGCAACGGTTCCATAAAGATTTCATTATCCGGAAAAAATGCATTTCTAGCTGTCGTTATCCGGATTACATCATCTTCCATCTTTAACCTGGCCATTTGGGATTAGAGTGGATCCAAGATTTAAAGTCGAGCACTTCCTCAACCGGTAATGAATTGATAAACATAGGTTTTTATCAGCAATAAGTCATAATGCAAGCTCATCTTATATATAGGACGAAAACACTTTTCTTTTATTTACATTGATTTTGAGTCCAATTCTCGCTGTAGTTGTTCACAGATTGTTTAATATTATTTGCATTTAATTACAACCATCAACAAAGAGGGCTACATCATCAGCATATTCAAGGTCTGTGGTGCTTGCTCTGGACTGATTTGCACACCTCTTGAGTGCCGACGAATGATGCCCCTTATCCGGTTTATCGCATAGTTGAATACTGCATGGGAAAGGACGTAGCCCTGACGGACACCAATTCTTATTTCGAAAGAATCAGCCACTTCGCCATAAACATTGATTAATGCCGAGGTATGCTAATAAAATGCCTTTACATATTCCATGACTTTCTAAGTGCTCTATCAATCGAATCTAAGGCAGTTGCAAAATTGATAAAGCAAGTGATAGTTAAAGCTGGTATTTGAAGCGATGTTCCAGCATCCAGCATTCTTAGCGTAAATATCTGGTCAACACAACCGCGTCCCGCTCTGAATCCAGCTTGGTTAGGATGCATTCAGTTATCTCATTTTGTCATGAGTTTTCAGAGTCTTTGTCATGAGCAGAAGGGAAGCGAAAATTTTTCCGGAGATGTCCAATAGGCTGATTGCTCAGTAATTGCTGCAGTACGTCCTGTCATCTTTCTTATGAATTGGAAACAGGAATTGTTTTGCTCCAGTCTTCTGGTGTTATTTCCTTTTGCCATACCAGAAAATACATTTGTTGAAGGTGAGTTATGAACGATGGCAACATTTGAAGAGTTCGACCTGAAGACCATTTTCTCCGGGTGTTTTATGGATTACAGAGATTATTTCCGCTTCTTTTGATGATTCGCAGTTATAAGCGTAAGGTAGCCTTAACAGAGGCCTCATATTATCACCTATCCGAACCGTCGTCCGTTCTCAAGGCCATACAGCTCCATTAGCGATTTCTGTCCCACCCTACTGCTGTAATTTTTCGAAGCATCAGGTAAGCATTAGCGTCTCCTGATATTCAGGCTTTGAAAGCTTTTTCAAACAGTGTGACAGTTGCATCCGACAATTAACAAGCGCACTCCCTTCTAGTATACAAGCACACTAATATGGAGGTGGCTTTTATAGGCATGTCTTTAGTTGGGACCAGTATTCATTCGCCGTTTCAGAGATGTCATTGACATTCGTTTCATTGAACTGCTATAACACGGTTTCAAATGCGCTTACTGTTCCCGGATCTTTTAGCTTGAGGTAGTCAGAAGATCTCGGGATTGTTTCTTACGACTTTCAGTTTTATACGAATTTTAGTTCGAACCATAAGATGATCTTACCCATGGTTGTTATCAGTTTTAGCATCCCGAGAAAAACGATCAAGTACAGAATTCTTCCATCGGTAACTGACTAAT